GCCTCTGTAGACCCTGGCAGTGCTATGTCAGTGAGCTGTTGCACAGCACACAGAAGGAATGATGTCCAGAGGGAAATACAGATCCACAGTGCGCATGAAATTCCTTGGAGGACTCTCACAGCAGAGCTCTGCAGCATCTAGGGAAGTCTGGGGAGATCAGAGCTGCCAGGGCCTGGTTTCCAGTGTGCCCTTTTGCTTTGCTGTCTCTTGTGAATGCTACTTAAAGTTTTCCCAAGTTAGGGATAAGTTAATTACATGGTCCTCTTCCCCTGAAGGACCCCAATGCCTGGATTATGTTTTGCTCCCAGATTTCTGGTTTTTAATCTGATATATGACACCAGTTCTCAGGAACTTGCATTTCTCTTGTCCCCTTGAAATGCCTGGTTGTTTTTTGACTCCAGAGCTCTCTGTGTGACATTCTCCTAACAAGGCTCTCCTGGGGCTGCTTTCCCCTCAATACAATTTGTCTCAGGGGGTTGTGACTGCCTCCCACAGTCCCACAGCCTTTTTCTCTTTGGCCTCTGATCTCTGGCAGCCTGTGCTGAGAGCTGATTGCCATCTCTCCTCAGGTGGATCACTCACTGCTCTGTAACTGGCTCGAGCCAAGGGGCTGGAGATATTGGATTCCTTTGATAAGGTGCCAGAGTGACACACTGATATCTGAGCCAAAGCTCTGAGTAAATGCTTTTCCCATCTCCCACCATGGTAGACTCCCAAATCCCAGCAGAAGCAACTTCTTTCTATTGCTCAGCTGTTTGCTAGCAGGAATTATCTGCCCTGGCAGGAGATAGTTTGTGCTCTCTGTGTTTGTTAGGCTCCTGCTATCGCTCACTGGTGGTAGAGAGAGGCATAAAACTCCTTCCAGGTGACTTTTGCAGAAAAAAATCAATTGTTTATCAACATCCTGGCAATCAATGGATGCAGTGATAGGTGCAGCTGTCTCTATTGGAGCTGAACCTTGATTGCTGGGAGGCCAGACCTGCTCCTAAATCCACCCAGGCCTGGAGTTGCAGGGCCAAAGTCTGGAGCCTGATCCTTGGAGAGTTTTCTAGTGCTGTGCTGTGCCCTTCCCCTGCTCAGGGTGTTGGTGCTGGTTGCTCTTGTGCTTGTTCTCTGTGGGCTGTGCTGCTGGAGAGAGCTCTGGGTGCTCTCTCAGAGCCAGGGGGGCTCTGCTCTCTGGGCCCTTCTGCACCAAAGTTTCACTGAAGAGATGGCCCACAGCACAAAATGCTCACCCCAGAGGAGTTCATCACTATTTCACCTGCCTGTCCATCTTCACTAAGCCTTTTGCTGAAGAACCATGTATTACATTTTGCTTCCAGATTCTCTTGGTATCCGGCCTTGGTGGCCAGCAGGTGGGCCTGGAGGAAGATCTCTCACAGGGTTTAGGTGTTCCTGCTGTAACTGATGATAAATTTGCTTTCAGCTGCACTGGTGAAAAGGCCAGCTTGGAGCAACCTGGTCTAGTGGAAAGTATTCCTGCCTTTGGGAATTGGATGATTTTTAAGGACCTTTCCAACCCAAGCCTTTCCATGATTCTGTGATGAGCATCTCCACACATCCATCTCCTTCCTTCTGTGCTACCCCTGCCCAGCTGGTCCCTCTTCCTGGGACACCTGCAGCCTTTCCCTCTTGATTGAAGCTGTAACTTGATGTCTTAAACAAGGCAACTTAAAGATGTCCCCGTTTGCAGAGCGTTCCTGAGCTTTCCCAGAGCCAGAGCTCCAGGAGCGTTTGGACACCACTCTCAGGGACAGGATGGGATTGTTGGGATGTCACTGCAGGGCCAGGATAATGCTTGTGGTTCCCTCACAACTCAGGAGATTGACTCTATCATCCAGTGTCCATGTGGCCAAGGTATCCCTTGACAAAGAAATATGGATAGGAGTGGAAGAGTTAACATCAGCAGCTCCCAGGCACGCTGGAGAGTTACATCATGTTGCTGTGGAAACTAACTTTGTGAAAGCACAGTGATGTATGGGAAAGCTTTGGGTCAGCGGGTAATAAATTCTGTTTAAAAAGTGATTTTTTCCCCATCTGCTGATGTAAACATCATTAAGAGAAATGACGGCTGAGAGATGGATTTCTTTTTATATCAATTTTCAGACAAAGAAAATAATTTTTTTTTATAATAAAAAAGTTGCTGGAAATCAGAGAGTGCTATAAATAATGAAATAAAGAAAAAGCACCGGTGATGGAACAGAAATTTTCCCTGGTGATTGGTTTACAGCTCTCTGTGATTTAATGGGAACTTGCAGTTGCCTGTGGGAAGCTGCAGCAAAGCCCTGGATGGGCTCTGTAAAATGATACTTGGCAACTTGTACCATGAATCCCAAATTTTGAGGGCTTTGGGAGCACCCTTGTCCTGGAAGTCCCCTCTCATCTGCATTTCCCTGCTGCCATTGAGGGGTAAGTTTCCAACCTGCCATGTTGTCATTTGGATTCTCATGTGGTGTGGGGTTTTTGGGTTTGCTTTTTACCCTCTGGGATCCAGGAGGGTTTGAGGTGAGGCAGCAGAAGTGTCTCAGTTTACCCAAAGCAGTGTGACAGTCCCAGCAATGGCAAGGGTGCCACTGGGAATGCAGGCAAGGGTGTCACCGTGATGAATGGGGTAATTAATAAGCAATTAATGCTCTTCAGAGCATGGCTCCAGCTTTTCTCCCAGCCAGGCACTCGGCACTGATCTGCTTTCTCTGGTGATCCAGGCTCAGAGCAGCTTGGAATGATGGAGATCATGTTTCCAGATCTCCCCTTGATGCCACCAGGATGCAGCTCTGCACTGGCACTAAAGCAGAGAGTCTGCTTTAGAGGGAAGGAAATTCCAGGGTGAGTTTTCACACTAATTGGTGGGATTTGAGAGGATTCTGTGGATTGTCCTTGAAATGTGTGCTCTGAAATGGCCTCCTTTGGCAGCTTCTCCATTCCCATCCCAAAGTCCCTGAAAGCTGGCCCAGGTGCAAATGCTCCACCTGGCACCACAAATTCACATTTCCCTGGCCTGCAGCATTGTTCCCAGCTCATCCTTCTGCCTCTTTCCTCTCCTGGCTCAGCCTGGATTTTTCCATGCCCACCTGCACTCCCTGTTAGCCCCATTGTCCATCTCTCCTGGGTGGGCTCTCTCAGTTACATCAGAGTCCACCAAGATCTTGCACTGATGTCTAGACCTGAGCAAGAAGCGCATTTCCCATTTCAGGGAAAAATTATGGAGTTTAATTTAAATGTATTTTTTGTCCTGACATGTCCCTGTGAAACCATTAAAAATTGTTTACATATTTTGACTTGATTTTGGCATTTAAAGCAATTGGATTAAAAGAGAAACTTCTAAGTGAAAAGATGTTTTAGAATTAATATCAAAGTGTTCCATGCCCTTAAAATAATGAAACATGATGTTTTGATGTTGTCAAAACACTCGGGTAATTTTTTGTTTAGAAACAAGAACGTGTTGGCATTGACATGCCCAGGTGAGTTGTTCCTTTTGCAGAAAATCAACGTTCTGATGGAAAATCCCGGTGGAGCTCAGGTAAGAGCAGCCAAACCTTGCTCACTTGTGTAATAACATCCCTTTCCCTCCTCAGCCTCAGGGCTTGTGCTCTAAGAGCAGTCCCAGGGGCTGGTAATTAATTGGCGTAGCTAATTCAGGGATGGAGAGGGAATATGACAGCAAAACGGGAATAATCTGCAATGTTTGTGAGGGAGGGAGTAGTCATGAGTTGCTGAAGAACCCAAGTACCTCAGAGGACATCATTGTTCTAATGAAGTGTAATAAAAATAAATGAATGTGGTAAAGATGCTGAACAGTTCAAGAGGAGGCAGAAGGTTCCCCATCTTGGACACGGTGGAGGTAATTTTGCATTTTGTCACGGACTGATGGAAACAGGAGAGAAATGAAACCTTTAAAGAGCAAAGTAGAGGAAAAGGGACATGTGAGATTGCAAGGAACCTCACCCCTGACAGCACACACACGTGTGTGTCAGCTGAGGTCGGTGATCTGGGATTGGGACTGGTTTGGCTGTCTCTGTTTATGAAGGTGCATCTCTGGGGAGCTCCCATGGCTGATCCTTGGCATTCCAGCTTGGAGCATTGGCATTGCAGCTTGGCAGAATCCATAGAGAGATTCTGCCTCAGGAAAATGTTCCTCTGGGTGCTGGGCTGAGCTGGCTGCAGGCTGGGCACAGCCATGAGTGGAGGTGACTCAGGACAGTGTTGGAGGTCCAGCCACGTCACCACGACATGCTCCTCCAATATTTGTGCCAGCTGTGCTCTTTGCTGGCAGCAAACTCATGGTTTCCTTCCCACATCAAGGGGGAGAATCTCCAGCACCCCCTCAGCTGGGAGCAGAGCTTTCCTGAAGAGCCCTAGGCAGAAGGACTTGTGGGTGTGAGGGATGAGGAGCTCAGGGTGACCCAGCTCTGCTCACTGGGACAGAACCCCCCTGTGCTGGGCTGATCCCAGGGTAGGCAGCAGGAAAGGGATTGGGATTGTGCCCCTCTGCCCTGCTCAGGTGAGACCCCACCTGCAGAGCTGCCCCAGCCCTGGGATCCAAAGGACCAGAAGGATGTGGAGGTTCTGGAGTGAGTCCATGGGAGGCCATGGAGATGCTCCAAAGGCTGGAGGTTCTCTGCTTGGGAGCCAGGCTGGGAGAGCTGGGGGTGTTCACCTGGAGAAGGGAAGGATCCAGGGAGAGCTCAGAGCCCCTTCCAGTGCCTGAAGGGGCTCCAGGAGAGCTGGAGAGGGACTGGGGACAGGGATGGAGTGACAGGACAAGGGGGAATGGCTTCAGACAGAAAGAGGAGATTTATCTTAGATATACAGAAGAAATTCTTCTCTGGGAGGGTGCTGAGGCCCTGGCACAGGTGCCCAGAGAAGCTGTGGCTGCTCCTGGACCTCTGGAAGCATCCAAGGCCAGGTTGGATGGGGCTTGGAGCAGCCTGGGACAGTGGAAGGTGTCCCTGCCCATTGCAGGGGGTGGAATGAGATGGGTATTAAGGTCCCTCCCAACCCAAACACTTTTGGGATCCTGTGATTAATTCTGTAATTCCGTGATTGATTCCATGAACCCCACCTGTGCTCCCTCTTCCAGAGTGAGATTTCCTCTGCTTTGGAGGGGCCAAGATTTCAAGTCAAGGCCCCAGTTCTTTTTCCTCTGTTTTGCCCACCCAGCAGAATTCCAGGCTGGGGAAATTGTTGGAGCTGTGGTTTTAACATGACAGCAGTGACGAGAGGGCGAATGATGTTTCTGTCAGTGCACTGAAGGCCATTGTGCACTATCGATTTTTGTATTTGTTTGGTTTTTGTTGGTGTTTTTTGTAGCAGAACACTCCATTCAAAGGAGTGTAAAACACTCCATTAAATATTAATGCTTTCCCCCACTTCTTTTCTCTGTGGACACATCTCCTTCTGTTTTCCCAGGTCCCCATCCTGCTGGACAGCTGGAGGATGTTCCCACCAAATGATCAGCAGGTCGAGGATGCTGCATAAAACACTCAGCAGTGCCCCTTTAACGTGGAAGAAACTTGACTTTTATTGCTAGTGCTGAAAGCATCTACAAATGTAGATTTAGCATCAGCCTCCAGGCTTAAGATACAGCTGTTATATTTTCCTTTCTTCCTTTAATTTTTTTTCTCCCCTCTCCTTTGCACTAATGTAATGCTTATTTAGGAACTACAGCCATCTGTGGTTGCTAGGGATGGCACTGTTAAATTTGCTGTTGCTTTCTTTCCCCTGGTTTGATGAGGCTCTCAGTGCACAGAGAATTCCCCAGGACAGCACAGACTTGCTTTGATTGCCTTTTTTATTTATTTTTTTTTATTTTTTGAAACACATCCCAAAGAGATTGTTCACAGGGCTCTGTCTGTGCTGGGAAAAGGTGGTCAGCTGGAGGGCTGAGATCCTGCCTTGTCGTGGGTTAATGAGGTGAGGTTATGAAGAACCAGGCAGCAGAAGAAGTTGATGAAATTAGAGGGGATGGCAAGTAAAAAGGGAGGGAAGGAGGAAGGGCTGGGACCAGAGCCCTTCCTGTTGCTCACAGCAGCCTGTGGTTAATGGTGAGAGGATTCACGTGGGAACTGGGGCACTTGCAGCACTCAAGGGAATATTTTAGTGTTTTTCCAGTGAAATGCTGTGCCTGACAGATGGACAGGGATCTATCTACCCTGAGTGGAGCTGGGCACAGCCCTGCACAGCAGGATGGATGTGAGGTGCTGCCAGCAGGGACTTGGCTCTTTGTGTCAGCAAAGGCAAAGGTGGATTCTGCCTGTTGTGTCCCTGAGCTGCCTTCAAGTGCCTCGTGCTCACCCTTGTGAGGAAAGGTAAATCTTAAAAATTGCTATAAAGAGAAAGGAAAATATCTCTCCTTTGGGGCAAAGCCCTGTAGAGAGAGCTGCTCTAGATGTCCTGTGAGTGATTTACCTTTTAATCTCCATCTCTTTGGTTTTGTTCAGTGTTCTTTCTGTTACCTGCTCCTTTAGATTGTCCTCTGTGGGAGCCACAGCTCCTCTTTGCACTCTGGAGCCCCTTCCCTGTGGACTGCCCTTTTCATGGGAAGGTTAATAACAAGTTTATCAGAAAATACTCTTGCATCTTATGTAAAATCAGAGGGGAGGTGCTGCTTTGTGGTCTGTAGGAGCTGGGATGGGTTGTGTTTGACCAGAAATCCTTTGGCTGCATCTCCTTGGGCAGCCAGGCCCATTCCTTGCCCCTGTCCATAATTGTCCTGCAAGGCAGGCTGGCTCCAAGCTCTTTGAAATGAGGTGTACAAAATGGTGATGGTTTTGGGTTTTTTTTCCAGTTCAAAGCCAGGGCAGGGCTTTGCTGCTGCAGCCATGAGGGGGAATTGGTGGAGTTCCAGGTGTCAGGAAAATCAGTTTATCTCTCCAGGCTGCCTGGAGGTCCCTATGTGCCTGAAGTCCCAGACTCACTGGATGCTCCTTAGCTGTCCCTAGGGCTGTTGGTTCTCCACCCTTCAAACCCAGGCATTCCAGAGCCTGGATCATGCTCCAAACCTGGGAATGTCCCAGGGCATGCTGGGCACCCTGAACTGGAGGTGAGGATGGGAACCTGCTCTGCTGAAGGCGCAGTGATGAGCCTGGCACCGTGGTCCTGCAGCTGTCAGCATGATGAATGGGTGTTGTGTTTTATTTCCTGCTTTATCAAATACTAATTATGTAGATGATAATTCTCAGCATCACGGTTCCTTTTGGCTCATTTGTTTTTCACCCTCCAGAGCAAGAATAGGGGGTTTTTCCATCTCCCTCCCCCCTTCCCATTCTTGAAATTCTGCTTTAATTGCTTCTCTTTGGCTTTTGCTTAAGGTTTGCTGCTCTGAACAGGTCAATGTATTGATCCTGCACTTTGATAAGGTCAGCAGAGATCAGCTGTGACATTTCCAGGAGATTTGCTCCTCCCCTAATGGGCTTAGTCATCAAAGAGTTTTCCAGGGGACAGGGCAGGGGAGAGATTGGATTTCAGCTCTTACACATGTTTATTTGGGCATGTTCTGAGCAGTGGGATCACTTGGCAGACTAAAGGATGTGCTGTGCAGGGTATGAACTCTGCCTCTGGTGCCCACCATGGTCACTAAATGTCACAGAAGCTCTGTGTGTGTGGCTGGGTGAGGTGGCACCAGCTGATCCCAAAGGGCACAGAGCAAGGGGACCCCACAAACCCTGGCTGTGGCAGCCCCAGCCCAGCCCTGCTCTGACCATTCAGAGGAAGGCAAGGAGATAACAAAAAGAACAAGCAAGCAACATCTGCTGGGCCAAATGAGCCTGGGGGAGGAAAATAAATCAACAAATTCCTTCCTGAGCTCTTGGGGAGTGAGGCTGGGCTGCAGCTTCATGGGGAGTGCAAGGAGAGCAGCAGATCACCCAGAATTTCCTGTTCTTGTCGTGGCTGAGGGGACAAGGAAGGGAGCCAGGGTAGGGAGGGATGCCCTGAGCCACCCAGCCCCGCTCCCTGTGCTCCTGTCTCCAGGAGCTGGATGACAGCCTGCCTGTGAAGGAGTTATCTACTCCAGCAGTGTCCAAGCTGGAGGATCCACACCCTGCTGTGTCCCTCCCTGCTGGGAAACAGTGCTGTATTTTGGGATTTATCTGACCTGAGCTTCCAGGCATTGAATCTCATCATCTCCTTGTCAGAATCCTGGGAAGTCCCCTGCCAGCCAGGACATTTCCATGTTGATGCCTGGACATTTTGGGATTATTTTAAAGCAACGCTTTGGCAAACTGAGGAAGCTGAGCTGAGTTCGGACTTTTCCCAGCTCTCAGCTCTGTGTGTGGAATCCTTTTGAATGCTCTCCAAGGCCTCCCCTCCCTGTGTGGACACCCCACATCTCCTGGAAAGGCTCTAAAAGCTGCCCAGAGCTGTGCTGTGCTCTGCACAAGGGCTCTCACAGCCTCTAAAATGCTGGAGGGGGTTGTTTTGTCATATAAAGTCATGCAAATGTGGGTGAAATAGAGGGAAATGGAGGGTAAGAGAAGAAGGAAATGCAAATGTCCAGTGAAAGCCTGGTGCCCGTCCCTGCTTGGATGAATATTCACTTACTCCAGGGACAGCATCTTTGGTCCTGCTGCAGTTGGTGCTTTCTGAGGTAATCTCTCACGTTGGAATAAGCTGTCATTTGCATTCCTGGTTTCCAGAGGTGTTATCTTGCACTGCCTTGCATCAGACTACATTTTTGCAGGGTGATGTACCTCAGCAGTGAGGAGGGGGTGAGCAGCCTGTGGCCAAGTGACTGAGTCTGGCTGAGCAAAACCAAACAAAAGCAAACACCCCCTGTGCTGTCACCCTCTCCAGCCACCAAAGTGGGGATGTTTATCCTCCTGAATCCCTGTCTAGCCACACAGATCAAGGGGCCCTCGATTGGGGTAGATCTTGCTGACACTTGATAGGAAAAGGTGAGAAAAATGTATTTAGTGGGTCTGCAAGGGGCCATGAGTGCTGCCCTTGTAGGTGGGCTCATTTAACCCACACTGTGACCTGCCCTGTTCTCATGGTTACTTACTTGTGACCTCCCCTTCTGCTGTCTATAAACATTCCCAGAGAAGAGAATCACTCCAGCAAATGGTGGATAAAATGCTGAATGATGTGGACAGAGAGCAGAGCACTGGAATTGATCTAAACTGCCTGCATGTCCCTCCAGATTCTGAAGCAAAAGCTTTTTTCTGAGTATTTTCAGGCTATGTAGTGAGGCCATAAAGATTTCAGGGTGTCCCAGGCAATGACAGAGTGATTCAATCAGGCTCCCTTATCAGATTCTCTCTGTCCTGCTTGTCTTCCCTTTTCTCTTCTCCATCTCTTCTCTGTGGAGAATGCTGGATTGGAATTGCTCAGATGGGCAGCTCAGCCTTTAGCAGAGTAAGCAGATTCAAGACTACAAGGTAACTAAAAAATTCAGCTGTTTAATGAAACCTGTGGCCCCCAGCTCCTTCCCTGTGCAGCCCTGCACAGCCCAGGACAGTTGCTATATTTTTATTTCCTATTTTGTGCACTCAGGATTCTTCTTCCTGGAGGATTTCCAAGGTGTCAGCCCCTGAGATGCTCCTGACCCTGCTCTTGGAAGCACAAGGGAGACAAGACATGTGCCAATCCAGGCCCACAGAGGGAGGCCGAGGGTAAGTCATTCATTACAGTCACTTTAACTGGGTTTTTCCCACCTGGGCCTGAATTACCTCGAGGAACAGAAGAGTGTTTTGCTATTCTGGCTGTGGTCCCATCCTTCTCCCTGCAAATCCTGAGTAACCTAGCAGAGGTGGAGCAGAAAGGAGCAGATCCCCTGCAGATGGATTGGGCCCTGTGCCACACTCAGGTTAATATTTTCAAACACTGTTTCCAAGCAAGAAGTGATGCCTTCAGACATATTTAAGTAATTTCAAAGACTGGTGATGAGTTCCTTAGGCCTTGGAGTGGATGGAGAAGGACAGTGGGGTCCTCAGAGGTGGATTTGAGATGCAGGGTTGTTTCTGTTTCTGTCCTGGGGCATTCACAGGTCTCCCAGCACTCAGAGGTTCAGTCACGTTGGTGTCACCCTCTGTGTGGCTGTGAGGGCTCCTCGAGGACCTGCCCTGTGCCCCTGGATGCTGTGGCATGGCATGAGCTGGTTGGAGGTGGTCTTGCTGAGAGCAAAGTGCAGGATGGGCTTTGGAAAGCCTTGGAAACCAGTTCAGGATGGGCTTTGGAAAGCTTTGGGACGCTGGTTTGGGGCTGGGAGTCAGCAGGGCTGCTCACATCCCCCTGCCAAAAACCATCTGCAGGCAGCTGGGATCTGCCTCTTTTCCCTTCCTTTTCTCCCACCCTGCTGCTCCTGTTGAGCTCCTGCGCTGCACAAAGCCTCTCTGGGTTTGTGTCCTTCAAACCCTTCCTGTTAAACACTTAGTCATCACTTAGCTAAACTACCATATACAAATATAGCTCTTTTGATCTTCCTACGTAAATCAATACCTGCTGTCCTTTCATCTTCGTAGGGCCTTTCTCTGAGCTCTCTCCAATTTACTGGCTTTAAAATGGAGTCATCTCCCCAGCCTGATTCTCCCCAGTTTTCACATTTTCTGAAGCCCCCACACCTGCAGGAAATCCTGGTGGCTCCCTGCCACCTTCACTGCCTGCAAGTGGTAAAAGTGCTTTGCACAGAGCATCTCTTGCCCCCTTGGATTGCTGTGGATCTTCCTCAGCTTGCTCTGGAAGTGAAGAAGCCCAAGGAACTGGGAAAAGCATAGTCTCAGCTCTGTGTGCCATTCTGGGCTGAAGGACACTTGTCCCACTTGGGTTATGGGCAGGAATTCCTGCAGTCATCGGGGGCTGCAGAGATGAGCCCAATGTTGTCTGTAAGAATACAGCAAATGCCCAGAGAAGCTGTGGCTGCCCCACTTCCCTCCGGAAGTGTCCAAGGCTGGGTTGGACAGGGCTTGGAGTACCTGGGATAATGGAAGGTGTCCCTGGCCATGGCAGGGGGTGGCACTGGATGGACTTTAAGATCCCTTCCAGGCCAAACCATCCTGGGATTCTGTGAACAATGGGATGTAGGGACAAAGAAGCCCAGGATGAAGGAAGGGAAATGAGCTGCAAGCAGCTATTTATCCCTTCAGAGTGGGGGATGTGGGCATCCATTCCTGAGCTAGCCCTGCCTGGCTGCCCCTGGGGCTGATGGAAGGCTCCAGCCAGGCTTCAGAGGAATCCAGACCTGGGACACAGATCCAAGGCACCCGTGGGGCAGTGGCACTGTCGTTCCTGTGGCAGGGATGGATTGGCTCCCCCAGCTGCCTGGCTGGGGCTGTGGGAGCAGCAGGAGTGTCCTGCTGAGATGGGAAGGGAGGTGATCCCGGGCTGATTTAGTGCAGGTGTCACAGCCCTGAGCCCGGCTCACACTTCATCCCAAGTGCTTGGGCTGTTGGTTATGTTGCAGTTGGTAAATAAAACTGTCAGGGAAATGGGCTGGAGCATGTGATCGTGGCTTTAGGGCAAGAATTAAGTCTCTCTGTGGATTTGAAGAGGCCATTGTGCAATTCCTTCCCCTCTCCTTACCTCCAGATATGCTGGGACCATTCCACCTCTGGACTGGGAACGCTGGGAAAGCCATTAAAGCCATTACAGTAAAAAGCCTTCTCCCTCCCCCCTTCAAATGAAAGGTTTATAATAGCAATAAACCCTTGATTTTAGCATCTCGTTATGGGTCAAATAAAAGCTGGTCAGGAGCAGGAGACAGAATCTCATGCCTCTGCTCGTCCCCTCTGGATAAATGTAGTAGTGCTGCCACGGGCCATATAGCTTAATTAGCCACTCTTCTCTCCTGTTCCTCAGGAAAAATACTTTGCAAAGCCTAGGCAGGCTGTCCGTGTCATATTTCCCATGTTCCTAGAGGTGTTAATGAATTCATTAATCACTTAATGGCAAGGAGGGTCTTTAGGGACCAGCATTGCAATTTACTGCTCCCAGGAGGAAGAGGCTCTGTCACTGATCTAAAGTTTCAGCTCCACTAATTTGTGCCAGCAGAGTCACCGAGCTCCTTTCTGCAGTCCTTGGAGTCTACATGGATCTCCCAGTGGGGGCATGGCAGTGACAGGGATGGGAATTTGCTGGATGGGGTCTTGTGCTGAATGATGTCCTGGCTCTGGAGCATCCAGAGGATGAGCAGGGCAAAGGAAACCTCTCCCCACCCTCGCGCTTGTGCTGATTTCTTATTTTTTTCTTTCTTTTCCACTGAGACAGGCTTCCTGAAAAACCACTGGAAAGGCTCCTCTGTGCAATAGGCCTGGAAGTGCATCCCGAGCCCCAGAGGCTTCTGCTGACTTACAGGAAATCCAGACTCTGGCAGCATGGCTGTGTAATGTGGCCTGGGACTGCGAAACGAGTCTGTGAATCTTTTCTAACTGAAGAGCGTCAGGGGGATGTATTTTGACTGAAGCTGTCAGTTGAGATGTGAATTTGAGTGTTTGCATTTCTGTGCCGCAGAAAATGTTGATTATTTCAGTCTCTCGCCCTTGCTGCAGGAGAGCGGCGGATGCCAAAGTTCCCAACAAAACGGCTCTTTTGGCTTCCTTCTGATCACACAGCAGAGCAGGGAGGGGAGGAGGTGAACAGAGCCCTCCTCTCTGCTAATTCCCTTCCACCAGCCTGTCATCACTTTGCAATTGCACCTTTTGGAAGGATTTTTTTCCCTCCCTGCTTTTCTGTTCTCCCGTTTAACTTCTGCTCTGATTTCTCTTTCCATCTTTCCTCTCAGTCTGTTGCCTTCCCAGACTGAGGGCCAAGGGGAGCAGTGGAAGTGTGTAAGACAAGGGGTAGCAGGGCCATGCGTGGGGCTGTCCATGTGCAGGCATTTTCTCCCCGTCCCTGATTCCTCCTGGGATTCATTCCCTGCAGTGGGGCTCTTTGTTCAATAGCTGTTGTGAGGATGTGGGAGATGAAAGGCGGGACAGAAGCCACGTGTTGGCCTGGGAGAGGAGAAAGGAGGAAGAGAAAGCAGGAATACAAACCCACTTCATCAGAGCAAACACAAAGGGAGGCAATTTCAATAAATGCCAGATGGTCCAAGTGAACCAGAGCCATGGAGAGCCCTCCATGTCCAACTGTTTGCTTTGGCAGGGAGCCTTCAGCTTTCAAATGAGAGCCTCCCAGGCACCCTCTTCTTTTCCCTGGCTTTCCTCAACCCCTTTGCTCATCCTCTGGACCCCTCCTCCTCGTGCCTTTGATGTCTCTCCTGGTCTCCCATCTCCTGCTGCTGCCCATGGCTCAGGCTGCCCCTCAGATGCTGATGTGTGGTGCAGCAAAGGTGTTCTCTGTGTGCCTGGGGATGCAGCCTCATTCCAGCACCACCAGCTGTCCCTGTCCATCCCAGCAGGCCTCTGGAATGTGGGAGCTGGACACATGGCCAGGCAGAGAGCATGCATCCTGCTGGGATAGTGGGAGGGCACCTGCACAGACCTCTCCCAACACAACCCTTGGGGTGCCCGAGTTCTGGGGCTGAATGAAGGAACACTGGGGATCTTGTGGGTCTTTTCCAACCTTAATGATTCCATGAGCATGAACTTCTTCATTCTCTTCTCGGGAGCCTGGGTTGTTTTGTTTTGGCCAGAATTCCTGCAGAGGAGGAGGGATTTGGGGTGGTTCAACTTGAGCATCACCACCTGAGATGTTGCTCCAGACACTGCAACACCCCAGGAGGGCCCTGGAAACACCACAGGAGGAGAAATCCAGCTACCAAGGGGCTCTTTTGTTCTTGCTCTACGTTCAAAACATTTATTATTCCAAACTGCCTTCTGCAAAATCTATGACAATTGTGAGTGGTGTTTGTCATGTCATCTCCACAGCTCCTAACAGGAATGCCATCATTATTCCAGTCATTAGCAAAATGTCCCAAAAGGGGCTGCTTTTGTGCTCTCCAACCTCTCATGCTCCATCTTTCCTACAGGGGATATTGTTTGGTTGAACTGAGGAGAGAAGGGGGGATGGAGATACCAGGGAGAGGAATTTCCCTCATTTCATGGGTGGGATGTAGGAGGGGAATTGTACTCCCCCAAAAATCCTGCTTTACCTCAATGCCCTGTGTTCAGCTTTCCTAAGGAAAATGTTGAACTTTGTATTTCAAATCCCACATCCATTTCTCTGAAAATCTCACCAAAGTCTTGAGAGACTTTATTAAGACAGATTTTTACTCAAGCTGAGTACTAGATTTCATTCAAACCCAAATGATTATTTTCCTCTTTTTAAGAAAAATAAATAAGAGGAAAATATTTCTTTATTTTCTTTTTTTCCTCCTGTTTTTGGAAACCTTGGGGAATCAGAACTCTCTAGCTCCCTAGGAGATTCCAGAGGGAAGGACTTACTGTCTTGTAATATAAAAGAACGTACACAAACCACAAAAAAAAGGTTTGTTTGAGTTTTTTCCCCAAAATATTGGGGTTTTGCAGAACAGTGCAAAAATTGTCCCATTCTCCCAAGGTCTGGCTTCTCAGTGTTTAAAACCAAGTTACAGCTTTGCAGAACAGCCACAGTTCTTGTTACTTTTAACTACAGATTCACATTGATTGTCCTTGTTTTTTATAGGAAGCTGGGGAAAAATTATTTATGGGCATATTTTCCTCCTTTCTAAATGCAAGTTATTAATTCAAGTGAAGAA